GATAATTGTCAATGATTTAGCAGAATTTTAACCAAATCCTTGATAGTTAGATAAATCCTTGATAGTTATCGAACCGTCAAGGATTTAGCCGAATTTTCAAGGAGTTTTTTTTTTGAATTTTAGCCAAATTGTTGACAGTCTTCACACTGTCAAGATTTCTTTCTTTTGTTATTTTTTTTAAATAAGTAAAATTTCTTTATTATTACGAATTAAATTATAGAATAATCGAATAAAATGCTTCATAATATTTATCCTTCCAACAATTATCACCATTTAACAGTATATAATGAGACATCAAACAATTGATCGAATGGTACATATATCACTGTTACTCTGAGTAAACAAAATTGAACAACAGTATAAATTTTACAATATTGCATAAACAACAATGAAAAGTAATCAATTTAGTAATGAAAAGTTTGATACATAGTTTTTGCCCTCATTGACCTTTAACATCACTAAAACAACAATAACTAAAAAAGTTTGATACGTACATCGCCCATTCTCCTCTAACTTCATCGACCTCCACATCTTCATATATTTCCTTCCCCATGGACTATAAAAGTATTTTGTTATTGAAAAAAAAAAAAAAAAAAAAAAAAAAAGAGAAAAGGAACACTTACATTGTTTTTCAATAATGTCAACTCATTCTAACTATACCTCTCATATATCTCTTTTGTTTTGAATCAGGTTTCATATGCTTTAGGTAGGCTGACAAATACATTGTTATGTTGTGTTGTTCATGGGTGGAACGTGGGTATTCCATAGTTGATGCTTGATGGGGTTTCAAGCTAACGAAGCTGAAGTGCATCTTTGGCGTTGAACCTTGAGAGGAGCTCAAGGGTGACCAGGTGGTCTCGTAGACTGAAGCTAGCGTGGTAGTTCAAAGTTCGACCAAAGGGTGAAGTTTGAAGCATTGTCATAACAGAGTGTTCACTACAAGAAAAAAAAAGGGGTACAATGACAATTTTTGAACTGTCATTGTAACCCTTATCAAAGAAAGGTCATGACAGTTTCCGAACTATCAAGGACCTCTTGACAGATTCTTGACAGTTCGATAACTGTCAAGGATTTAACAAAATTTTAACCAAATCCTTGACAATTGTCAAAGATTTAGCCGAATTTTCAAAGATATTTTTTTCTTTTTTTAAAATTTTAGTCAAATTGTTGATAGTCTTTCACACTGTCAAGATTTCTTTTGTTATTTTTTTTTAAATTAGTAAAATTTATTTAATTACGAATTAAATTATAGAATAGTCGAATGAAATGCTTCATAATATTTATCCTTCCAACAATTATCACCATTTAACAATATATAATGAGACATCAAACAATTGATCGAATGGTACATATATTACTGTTGCTCTGAGTAAACAAAATTGAACAACAGTATAAATTTTACAATATTGCATAAACAACAATGAAAAGTAATCAATTTAGTAATGAAAAGTTTGATACATAGTTTTTGCCCTCATTGGCCTCTAACATCACTAAAACAACAATAACTAAAAAAGATTGATACATACATCACCCATTCTCCTCTAACTTCATCGACCTCTGCATCTTCGTATATTTCTTTCCCCATGAACTATAAAAGTACACACAATAAGACTAATCAACAAATATCTTATTAATCAAAAAATAAATAAATAAACAAATAAATAACACTTACATTGTTTTTCAGTAATGTCAACTCATTCTCAACTATATCTCTCATGTATCTCATTATATAAAACCCACATTCAACGCTTCCTGATCGAATGGGTCTTTACACAAAATTAATTCAAAAATAAGCATTAATATTCAAAAGATAAAACAATATTATAATTGAATTGGTTCCCACCACCAATGATACTTTCACAAGGTATGTCATTAAATCTATATTGTACTCTTGAACACATAAAATTCTATTTCAAGCCATAAATATGCTTTCAAAGAAAAGCCAAATCATACTGAGAGAACTTTATGTTCTTCTTAAGTAGAAGTTGTCTCTTCTTGATCAACTAGCAAAAATGTTGAGGCTCAGTCCTCTGTGTGCACGTGACATATCAACCAAGGAAAAACTACGACCAAGATGAGACAACCAACAACGTAATTGTATTTAAGACAGCGCGAGCAGGGATAGACAATATGCTGAAAATTAGTCATTGATAAATTCACTCTTGCTTTACACATCTCCAATTTTATATCAAAGAAATCATATGAATTGCAATGTTAAATATGAAGTGAGTTCTAAGAGATTCTTTCCCTTATCCAATATGAGGTAATATTCACTCTTTTTTGTTACATTTCATCAAAGAGATCATCAGAGTATCATATTGCTGAGTTGTAACTTAAAACACATACCTTTTTGGTTTATCCTATTAGAATAGCATGAGTAAAGTTTTGGGAAAGTGAAACTGATAAAAAACCCTGCCCAAATTCGCACCAACAAGAACATTTGCATCAGGAGCTAAAAACATTGAGAACCGCAAATTATGAGATGGGTATTAGTATTGTAGTGATCATGCCAAGATCAAAAAGCCTCAGCATTGTTATAATATGGCCATACTCAGCTCCTAGAAGCAAAAATGGAACTACCTGTAACCAGAAGCATCACAAAGCTCATAAAAGAAGCAAATTATAGGCATGTTAGAGTCTTTAAACGCATGAACAGTGATATTTGTTCTTACTTTGAGGGTCTTTGATGGCTCTCCTGAGAAAAGCTCTCTTGTCTTTGAAATTGCAAGGTTGGTGGCTGGAAGAATTAGTCTACCGAATCTCAAAATGTCCTCTTCTTTGAACTTAAACTCACGCTTCTTTTCATCATTATTTCTGTAAATTTTCCAATTCCAAAACTTAGAAGAAAAACAGAAGAGAATGTATGGGAAGATAACATGATAAGACAAATTGGATTTGTACCTTTGCAAAATTGAATTTGAGAAGAATGAAGCACCCAAGAACAGAAGACCAAGTTGTGAAATCGCTGAAAAGATGCTTATATCATGGAAGTGGAAAGATTTAGATATCTAATTAATCAAAACACAAAACAGAATGTAAATGAAAAGACAGTAGAGAGAATAAGAAATACACACCTAAAGCTAACTCCTTTTGTAAAACAAGAAGACAAGAAACATAAACAGCCCAGACCAAACCAAAAGGCTCGACTTTGCAACATCTCTCCACGTTATCAAATCAGCAAACAAATGCCCGATTCGATCAAGATTCCCGTGACCACCCTCATCCATTTCTAAATCCACCACATCACCATCAAACCAATCATAAATAAACACAGAATAAAAAGTAAAAATAAAGAATATCAAGGAATAAATATTTAAGAGACTACATGAAGAAACAAGAAAAGCCATAAAACATTGTAAACCTGTTGATGGCACGCTTCCTATTACGGGACCTAAAACAACATCTCGCCCCATGAAACATGCAGTCAACAGAGAAAGAAAACACTCTACCAAGGAATTATTTGAGCGTACTAGTCTCCAAGAAAATTGACCAAATTTGCAGTAAGCCCAAAATATTTGAAATAAGAAATAAAAGAGCTACATAAAACAGTATCATACACATGCTTCCTACTTAAGCACCTGATTGCCCAACTGCATAATAGTAGCAGCAGCAAAACAAACACAAATACATTTTTCAACCAAAATTGAAAAGAAAATCATTCACACCAAAAACATAAAAGCATGAATTAACTTTTTCTAAGCAAAACCAAACACTGACCAGTATAATCAACTTACCTTCTTGTCAACCTCCAAGGCAGTCTTATTCTCATCTGTCATGGCATCCCCCCAACTGTGGTAGGACAGGTGGTAACACCTCCATTCCCAGTCCCAAGCTGCGATTCCCAGGAAATGCTAGCCGATCCTGTGGCCAGCGATTTTTGAACTGGTGCATGAATGAGAACCTTGAATCAAGCCGTATTGTGAGCCTTTCTTCAATTGACAGCCCCATTTTGGCTTCTCTATGCATTGCCATCTCTCTTTCCATCACCAACTCCCTCCTCACCTCCTCTTCAAGCATTCGCCGACGTATTTTTTCTTCAGCAATTATTTCTTGCCTGATTCTGTCCTTCTCAATCTGACACTGGATAGTGTAAAAATCTCACGTGATAATGTGATAATGTCAGGTGGCAGAAGACAAAGAAAGAATTAGGGTTTACGGGATCTGATTGAGTGGAAGAGATTTGGGCGAGAATGGGTTTTTGGCGGAAGAAATGGGTTTTTTTCTTACCCTAGGTTTGACTTAATGGAAAATGTGTTTTTCGTGAGACTTGGTGCTTTTGGCGGAAACCAATTTGCCTTGGCGAAAATTTGGCGGCCTTAGTGCAAATTTCAGTTTTTGTTTTTTTTATCCTTCCCAGTTATACACTATCAAAGTATCAATGATCAAGATTATAACCGTTAAAGAATGAATTTTATTTTTACAAAATACTTGAAAGTTAAAAATTGTCAAAGATTAAGACTATAACAGTCAAGGAATGAAATTGTACAACTTCATTTTTACAAAATTTTTTACAGTTAAGGATTTAGTAAAACAGTCAAGGATTATCTTAAATTCTTGACAGTTCATAAACGGTTAAGAATTTGGCAAGGATTAAATTTCTTGACCATTTTTTAGAACAGTCAAGAAATTATGTCAAATTGTCTGCTTTTTTTCTTGTAGTGATTTTGCAACTGATGTTTAACTTTGTCTTTGTAATTGAATTATAAATATTTATTATAGTTGATTAGTTTTATCTGAACGTGGTCCTTTGGATGTAGGCAGGTTGCCAAACCATGTAAAAATGTGTTGTGTGCTTTATTTTTTGTCTTTGATGCATTGTTTATATTGATGTTAAAAAGCTAACACAAAACGCACAACCGAACATGCTAACCCATTCTGTCTAAGTTTAATTAACTTGGTAAAGTAATTAAAACTTTTAAGAATTAAGTTTCCTGTAAACTTGTTTTAGAGCAAGAGAAATTGTTTGAAAAATTAAAAGAATGAAGAGATAGCTTCCATATCTAAAATATTTCCCCTCTAAATTATTATTATTTTTTTAACCACACAGATGGCAAAATTAAGAAAGAAAGTAGTGCAATTTCGTACAGGAACAGCTCTCGTTTTTGAGCTCTTATTATTTTCTAATTTTTTTCTGCATTCTACAACAAAACCTTTGGAGTATGGAGCACTTGCTTTAATTTATTGTCCTCGTACAGAAGGCAGAGAATCCCCAAGTAAAAAGGATGAAAAGAGTGCTAGTGATTCACTTGGTTTGAAGCACGGCACTGCATGGCCTGCCCCTCTAAATGTCGCAAATGTAAGCCCTGCATATTCTTGATACCAACCGCTTACCTGATCCAAAAATAATCCACTGACATCAATAAAACTAAATCTGAATACTAATTCATGTTTTGGTTCATATATCATTGTCATTAATTTTTTGGCTATCAAATTAACCTGCTTCTGGTGATACCATGGCCTCCAGGATTTGGTGATGGGGAGTCGCAGAGAATTTAAGCTGTATCTTGTGGATAGTACAGGAACTCTTCCATCTGTGTCGCCACTGAACGAACAAAAACAAAGCAATTATGTCAATAAGCTTTGTATTATATTTTATCACAAGATTTTTCTAAAAAAAATTAAAATTGATGTGAAGAAGGGAATGTTTACCTGTAAACCCATATTTTAAGTCCCGCTTGGATAAGCTTGGTGTATATAGGAAGAACAGATGGAGTCGAATATGACCACTTGTGAAATAAAGTATAACTTCATCCACAAAAGTATAATAAAAAGCTCAGTTAGCACAATTGAATACAAGGTTGAATAATTCATAAATCATCTAGGCACTAATTACTTGCAGATGCTCCAGTTCCTCAGCTGATGACCATCACTAACATGTAAGGCCTTTTGAACATCCAGTCTGTTGTAGAAAGCTTTTGCATAATCATCCAGGCATGGATCGTAACCACCAAGGATCCTAGGCATCTGCAGAAAACAAAATCCATGAGTATCAATAGTAAAAGTTCAAGGGAGGCTAAATTTGGAGAATTAATATGAAGATTTGCTTACCGTGTTAGAAGTACGGGACATCATAACTTGAAATGATTTGTCATCTGAATCCGCCGAATTGCTGAAGCAAACTGAGGTGTAGAGGCTATAGATATCAATCTCCTTGTATTGTTTGAGTACTTCATCCACCGCTTCACAACAATCATCGTTGCTCCATGTATTATTGCTGTCAAAATCACAGCTTCTTCTGATTATTCCGTGTGTTTCATCTGAAATCACCGCGTGGCTCCAAGCATAATCCACCAGACCTTTCCAGTCCTCAGCAAAAGATGTTTCAGGATTTCCCAACTTTATAGACAACAGTTAATTAGCACTGTTTTTTACTGAATTCATAAACATACGGTAGCACTGTTTTTAGATTTTTTTTTTCAACATACCAAAATACCCTTGAGATCAATATGAAGGGAAGGGTCATTGTTCTTGTCATTGATAAGCTCAGCTAGCTGTGGGACATATTTTCCTGTAAATATATATACATTGTATAGATGGCAATTCAATAATCAATATAATTGAAAACAAAAAGGTTACTAAGGTTGAATATATATACCTGCATAGCTCTCCCCGGCAATGTAAAAGGTTCTCTTTCTGTATGATGGGAACTTCAGGAACCACTTGTGCAGAAAGGTATAAGCATCATTTGCTAAAAAAAAATTGCAAAACATTAGATTCAAAATTTTAATTTATCTCATCAGAGAAAGGACAGTAGTTTTCATACATAGTCTGCGCAAGCTCACCTGTTAAGTCATCTCCCAAATTATGGTAATCACTAATTGTATTGGAGTAAGAAAAACCAACTCCAATTGGTGACTCCAAGAATATCATGTTGGCTTCTGCATCATCATGGACATTATTAGGAATTATTGTTAATACAATCTAATAATTATTATATGCTAAGCATCACTGATCTTGTAATTGGGAACAATAATCAAGAGCATAGATGCACTATTCTTTATGACGTGTGAAAAATCTAAAAAAAATAAATAAATAGCTAATACCTTTATTCCATGAATAAGGATTAAATTTAAGTCCCTGCCCGTCAGTGTCCACTATAAAAGGACCAATCTCCTGTGTTGCTCCATATCCCACAGAAGAACACCCGGGACCTGAAACATAAAAAATCTTGTCACCTTAGAAGACAACATTGAATATAAGAAATTAACTACTATCATGAGCAATTGAATGAGATTTAGTTGGATGCCTTGCAAATGATTAAAAATAAAATGGCATCGATTAAGAGATAAGGAAAAGGGATGATCATATACATCCTTAAAGGACACCATTAATTAATTTTTTTATTAGCAAAAGTCTGTCCATATAGAGTGGTAGGTTCGCTCTAGGGAACGGCCAATATTGAAATCAATAGTGAGCAATTTGTAGTTGGTCTTCTCTCTTCCCTATTGGTTAGATCAGAATCCGAATGGCATAAAAAATAGTGGAAGGTGCTTGTTTTAGAAAACCCTACAACATGTTAAATCAAAATTTCTTCAATCCTGTCACATAATTCCGGCAAAAGCTCCTCCAATAGACGTCAATTTCTTTTTTCCGGTCAATCCCCAAAAGAAATTTGTAACAAGCTTTAAACGTCATGAATATCCAAATAATTAAAAACGATCATAATATGTAAGCTTTTACCTCCATTAAGCCACAGCACCAATGGTTTTTCTTCAGGGCGAGTCGTGGCCTCATAGAACCAGTAAAAGAGAGCTCTTCCATTCTTTTCATTCACAGTGACATAGCCAGCATAGTGGCGGAAGTCCACATCGGGCTGACCAGGCAAGTTAGTCACAAGATCACCATCCCCATTTTTCAACGAGTTCATTGATGGCTTACCACTGTCCCCTCGCCAACGTCTACCCAGAACTGGAGGCTCAGCCGCCGCGGATACTAGAATGTTAAGTAGCAAAGAACCATACACTGTTGCCTTCAATGCAAAATCCATACTGAAACAAGAAACCGTATATGGTTGAACACAGCCTTAATTTTCAATACAAAACAGGATGGAATTCAAGAAACATCACTTGTGTATTTATACTCATAGAAGAGTAATTAATTAAGATAAAATTAGAATATTAGTGAGAGATATTGGTAAAAGGTCCTACGTGGCACCTTGATTTCGATCGGTTGGCAACTTTATGGCATCTGACATGGATATTAGGCAGCTTGTAGACAATTCTTGCATGAACATTAAGGCTTGGTGGAGCCTCCAATTGCGATAATTGTTGTTGATTCATAGTCACATGAAAATACGTGCGCATTCATATTATCTCTAATTAGATTTTGGATACTATATTAATCAGACATGCCTGTCAATACATATTTTCTCGATTGCTGGTTGATCATATATTTTAAACTTCCAAGCTAGAGCAGTATGGAAATTAAGAGCGAACAGATTGCTTAATTTGGGCTTATTTAAGATTTCTTTATACTAATGGGGAAAATAAGAAGAGAACAACCGACTAAGGAAGCATTTAAAATGAAAGAGAATAAATATATATATATATATATATATATATATATATATAATATATATTATATATATATATATATATAACCTGATAACCATATATCTAATCAACATATTTAAGGCAGAGTTTAAGAATTTTGGTAAAAAAGTCGGAAGAATATGAATTTGATTTGACCAGTTGATATGTTTCTCTAATTTTAAATGAACTTGGGTTCCATTTTGCCAGTCATATATTGAATACAAAATGCAATAAGTTTGATTTCTAAGATACTGTTAGTTAGCTGTGGCTTTTTGAATTTAACGTCAGCAAGTCAAATGTGAATCATAAAGGAAATGCGCACCTATCCAATGTAATATTAAGTAAGAATATATATATATATATATATTAAGTAAAGAAATATTATTGATAAGTAATTACCAAAAGATAAATATATGTGCTTTGCTAACGTAAGAAGTTTTACATGTCTTCGGTAATTATTAGATGTTAGTACATCTCAATAGACAAATGGACAAATATATTACTAGTTATAGCTATTAATGAAACGTGCACCAGTCATAAAACATAAAGGCACTCGTGATCAATTTAAAATGAATATAAGGAGGTGGTTTTTTTATCTAAAAGCTGAATACTGGTACCCGTCAGTCGAGTTTTAGAATTGGAGGATCATTAGTGAGATTCTAAAAAATACATTATCTAATTGGAATGCCCTGAAATCTCGAATAATAGGGCCGACATCGCTATCCTGAACTAAAGACAATTACACTTTGATTTGAACTCATCAAATCTACTGTTACAAAGGTCCAACCATCCGAAATTCCAGAAATATTTTCCATGATTATAAGAGAAAGGTTGAACAAGGCAACACGTGGCGATAATTTGTAGGAGATTGACACATAATGTGGGCAGTCAATTGTCAATGTCCAAAAATAAAGTTACAAGGTGGAAGGCAATATTAATTGTGGGTATATATTCGAAATTGGTGTGGCTCCTCTATAATATACAAAAAGGAAAACTGTTTTTAGGAATCTCATCATCACAAAGTGAAAGATGGAGTTTTGTGGCGAACCTTGGTGGGTTGTGACAATCTGATGACCCCAGAAAGGTATCAAATGCTAAAACAAACAACCCAACCAACTGGTTGTTGACAATGCTTGGATTCAGCTTTAATAGTTGACTAAGAATTGAAATCGACTCATTCAATCTCAGATATTTATTAGTTATTCTATTTGGAGTATTACGTGATATCTTTAAACTAAAATATTCTTCTCAATAATTAACAGAACATATTTGATATCTTGATAGAAAGGAATTCTTTGTTTCCTATAAGCTGATGTTAGAGGAGCTACTTAGTTTATTTCTACTGGAATATATGCGCGACTATCTAACATCATACATCATTTATGTTTAACGAGAATAGAATATCTTCCTTGAGTGATTGTAGAGTCATATGATGCACTTATTAATTAGTTTTAAAGATTATTATTATACATATAATTAACATGTTAATTATATGTATCTATAATATTATCTAGTATGAAGATGGGGGTACGTCTTGGTAGGGTACAATGTATGGGCATTATCGTGACGAAATTAATCGGCTTGTGGACCGTGAGATTGTCACTTGGATGATCCAGGATTTTTAGACAATATGAAAGGGAATGAAAAATAAAATAAAAAAATAAAAAATTAAGGAAAGAAAGAGAAGAAAAAGTTCTCTTGTCTCCATTCACATGTATAGTTTTCTAGTGACTAAGACTATGCTCTAAAGTCTCATATGCGTCACCGTTTTAGCACCAGAAAATAAAAATTGCATCAACTGGGAAAAGGCCCACCACACTTTCTGTCTTCAACAAAACAAACTTTGTATGGCCAATAGATTTCCACCCATTCACTTAGTTAACTCCTTAGGTCATTCCTTTAGGTGTTGATTCACTGCCACTAAGAGGATTCTTACAATTTTAATGATAGAACTTAAGGTAAAGTGCAAAATTTATATTCTACGTGCCATATTTGTTGGATATAGCTTAATATTAATATATAGTTACATTTCATTACTGAGTAACACAGCAAGTCCATGTTCGATTTATGACTTTGGTGCTCCATTTGGGTTGTTGCGCAATTCATCTGAACTGCAAGGAGACACGTGAGTTATGTGACAAATCGAGCATCAAGGCTGTACTGTGTAGTTTTTGTGCCAAGCACAAACTTCACTGAAATGTGATAAACTCCATCTCTCATCTCTCAATATTTTTCACTTTTGACTTTAATTGGTAAGAAAGTATCAAGTCAATAACAGATCATTAGAATTAAGATAGAGCGCACCACTAAAAAAAATGCAAATGAAGAGTCAAAGTACAAATCAGCAGTCAATTCACAGTAGAAAAGTTCCATGCAGCCAAATAGTAGAGGAATCTCAGTACAGTTTTTCCGTCATCCGTCGTCGCCTGAATTCAGGTTCAGGCGTATGAGGGTTCGCATCTCCACGGGGGAATATTGAATTCACGGATATTAATCTCAACATGTTCCTCGATCCATTAATATTTCAAATTAGATGTATACTTAATACCCCTAATAATTGAGAAATAATTAACGTGCTCCTGAACATAAAGTGATAACTGTTAGAATTCTTAATCCCAGAAAAAGTGTATCAGTGCTGAGACGTCACAGAAGATGCTCTGGGAAATAACATATAAATATACTGATGGATGGCCTAAAAAGAATGTGACATGCCGTGTTGTAAAATCTCGTTATTAATTAGGGTCATTTGTTCGGAAATCTAGGTATTTAAAAAATAATTAAATTTTCCATGGAATTCCTAGAGTGGTCTATGTTAAAAAGCATATGTATGCTAACTAAACTTGAATGTATTCCACTATAAAAAACACACGGTTAAAGTACCAATACATGATTAAAGCAAAGAGAGAAAAAGCATATTCAATGTCTAACGAATGATGCAAAACTCGTCACGTAAGTGCAACTAAGGAGTCACAAAATGCACAGTTAGAGGATAATTTAACCAAATAATATCTACTCATCCGCTATTGGGAATTGAGAAATAAAGAAAGAGCAACGACAAAGAGCAACGACTTGATCGATATTTCGTTGTCTAGTTTCCTGGTAGAGAAGAACTTATCTTATCGGGAGATATAATTCCATGAAGAAAGAAGAAAAGGCATAATACTGACAGAACAAAATGCTGTTAGAAGTTGGAACGAATAATCCATATCCATAATATTTATCTTGAAACTAATAATTGCTCAAAATTAATTAATGATCATCAAATAAATAAAACCCTCTGGATGGAACATATAAGGATATGGTTTTAAACTATAATATAATGGTAAGTGGTTCAGCCATTCATAGATTAATCTATAATCCATAATTTGCCAAGAAGGCACTTACAAGAGTCAAGAGGATCAGAGACATGGCGTTTGTAGTTTTCCGTGGAAGTTGTGACCAATCGGAGGCATGAAAAGACACATTAGCAGTGGACACACTGTGATAAATTCCGCATTGACCAGAACCAGATTCTGATAAGCCTCATCTCATCACCTTGATGATCTTTGCATGTTTATCCTTTGAAAAATTTACACCTACTGATTGAACCTATGACTTAATTGAAATAAAGAGCACCGAATTTCGAAGTTCCTTCTCGTTTGGTGGGTGCGCAAGAATTATCATCTCGTTTTGAATTGGTACTTCATCAAGAAAAAGACAACTGGTAGGAGTATTTGATACAAGACAAATAAATTTGCATACAAGAATTGGCTGTGTGCGACTAAATGGAAATAACAATGTATATATATCTACAGGAAAATTAAGGTGAAACCAGCATATATGCTCCATAAATCGAGAAAATTTTAATGTAATCATATACACTCCGTCAAGATATGATAATAAATTAATTTTAATACAAAATTTGGAAATCAAGAAATGTCACGATTAATTTATTAAAAGAAGGTTTTTTAATTCCTAAGTAAATTGTGAGTAGTGAGTTAGTGTAATAATAAGGATAACACTCGACTATACATTTAAAATTGATAAACATTCTGATCAATACATTAATTAGATCATAAAGTTTGAAATAAAATCTAAATAATCATTGAATATATCCAAAAAAAAAAAAAAATACGTTTATAAGGGTGGTAACCAACTCTACAAGACTCCTGATAAAACAAGGAAAAAAACCAAATTAATTAAAAAAAAAGAAAATCCTAAATGAAAGAGGAAAAAAAAGTATAGAAAACTAAAACAACCTCAAAACCACCTAAAACGGTGGATTTTGGGGGTTGAAAAAGACCTCCAACGGAAAACCAATTGTTTCGTAGAAATTGAAACAAGCTTTCCATTGATGTATATGGGCCTTATAACTTTCCGAATCAAAAGTTATAAATATTTAAAGTGAGGTTATCCGCATTTTGGCTTCTGACTATAGAAAGAGATTGTAATCTAGGTGAGATATATGCACCATAACTTTCACTTGTAATCTAAGAAGTTTCATGATCAGATATATAAA